GCACTCCTTGAGGGCCTTCTCATGGTAGTTGATATTCTCCTGCAGCGCCGTCTTCTGGTGGAACGCGTTCGTGTCGCCATCACCGTGCTCCTTCCTGATGCTGCCGCCGCCTCCTGCCGCTGGGCCACCAGGAGCCGTCGTCGAAAGGCGCTGCGTGAGGCTGGCAATCTGATTCGTGAGCGCCCGCAGCTGCTCCTCCAGCCCGCCGTTATAGTCCTTGGATCACGGGGCCGGCTTCCGCAGCAGCTTTCCTGAGCCGGCAGCACCTGCTCGTGCAGGAGGACGGGCTCCCCCTTCGGCACGACGGTCCTGATCCGCCAGCTTGGCAGCATCGACCACGCGCCGCGGTGCCGACCTCCCGCATGAACACGTGACGCGCGATGCCCAATGGTTGTCCTTGCCGCACGAGAAGCCCCAGAACGGCATCTTGGGGCCCCGCAGCACGCGCACCTCGGGCGGCCCAGGCGCCATCCTGCCTGGCGACGAGCCGTGGTGCTCCTGGAGCCGCCGCGCCGCGCGCCACAGGCGCTCCTGCAGCTCGGGCGATGATCTGCCTGGCCAGGCGCGGAGGAGGGCGCGGTCCTCCGCGCGGCGCGAGTGCGCCCTGTGGTGCGCCTCCGCCTCCCGCGGCAGCGCCGTGGGCGCTGGTCCCAGCGCGCGATGGGGGGGGGGGGCGCCCCCGCTTGCAATGCAGGCACCCAGGGGGGCTCCTCCTCCTCACGATCCGAAGCTGGAGGAGGAGGAGGAGGAGGAGGAGGAGGAGGAGGAGGAGGAGGGAGGAGGAGAAAAGAGTAGGAGGAGGAGGAGGAGGGGGGAGGAGGAGGAGGAGGAGGAGGAGGAGGAGAGGAGGAGAGGTGGGACGCGAGGCGCTGTCCTTTCAAACCGAGGCCCCAACACCACAGGATGGTTGGGAATGAAAGCCCGAACGCGCACCCATTATTGTTTGATTTTGTCTGCCATGCCGAACCTCCTTCGGGCCTCTTGAATCCGAATCCAGCTCTCTGGCCAAACGCTCCCCAATCCCCCAATTGCCCCCGCCCTCAGGGCCCACGCGGAGCGAGGTGGGGCGCAAAGGGGGCGGCGCGGCGGCAGCGGGCGCGGACGAAGCGAAGGCAAAGGAATCGCAAGAAGCGGCAGGAGGCACCAGCAGAGGACATGCGTCGAGACAACCGACACAAGTGAGAAGGGATAAAAGCTCGGGCGCGTTCCTCACGCCGCGCCGCGCGCGGAAGCAACATGCCCAAACCAGAGGCCATGGCCCGCCCACCTCCCCAGAGCCACGGCGCGGCCAACAAGAGCGCGAAGACGAGTGCCGCGAGGCACGGCGCTGGGCGCGACTACGCCGCGAAGTCGGCCAGGCCGAAGGAAGCGACCACGCCTCCGCCGCGCTCAGCAGCGACGCGCGGGAGCCCCGCCAGGCGCAACGCCCTCAACGGCGACGGCGGCCGCGATCCTGGGGAGCACGCGAACGGAAACGTGCAAGTCATCTCTGACGTTGCACTCCTGACAAGGCCAAGCGCACAAGGGGGATGTCGTCGCTCAAGCCTCGTTCGGCATCGTCGCCGTCTTTCTCTCTCGGTGGCTCTTCCTCCTGGTGCCGCCAGTGCTCTCTCAGATTCCCATCCTCCTGCTCCTGCTCCTGCTCCTCCTCCTCGTCCTCCTTCTTTTCCTTCTCCTTCTCCTCCTCCTCCTTCCACGCCATCTCCTCCGATCCCACCCCCTTGCCCTCCTCGTTCTATGCATCTTGTTCGAATATGCCGTTCGCCGCCGAGAAACGCCCCGCCCCCCTCCGCCCGCTCCACCGACCCGCCGCGCGCTGCTGCGGCCGACCGACCGAGGCGCCACGGGGTTCGGAGAGGCGTTTGCGCCCCCGGGTCTGCTGGCGGCCTTGGCGACCCACGCCTGAAGAGCGACAGGAGAAGGAAAGAACCGAGAACCGCCAGGTCGCGCTCTGCAGCGACGGGCAGCGACACTTGTGGGATGCGACACGGGATCGCATCGGAGTCGAGTCGGGGTCCGAGTCGACTCCGAATCGACTCGGCGTCGATCGTGTCGGGGGTCGCAGAGAGTTTGGCGCCCAGGGCCACGGGGCGAACGCAGCCGAGGCGACGAGGGATGGGCAGCGGCACGGTGTCCTCCTCCGAGAGCGGGCGTCACGCAGGAGTGACCCTGGGCAAAAGTGACCCGTGGTGCGCGGTCTCCCCTCCTCCTCCTCCTCCTCCTCCTCCTCCGCGGGAGAGGGGGAGGTGGAGAAGGAGGAGGAGGAGGAGGAGGAGGAGGAGGAGGAGGAGGAGGGGGAGGAGGAGGAGGGGGGCAGGAGGGGCCAGCCACCGCCTTCGCGCCGCACTCGGCGATCGGGGTGCCCCAGCCGGCGGCCCGCACCAAAGGTCACTCCAGCGAGGGGCCACTCTCACCGCGCTTCCAGGCATCTGACGGTGTGATTCGTTCCCTGCGCGGCCCAAGAATCGGGGAGACGTAAGACCCGGGTACGGGGGACTCGGAAATCCCCGACGAGGTCGTCAAAAAAATGACGAGGCCGAGCCTGCATTTTGACGAGGCCTCCCGCTGCAGACATCCCACGAAACTCCTCCTCGTCAAAATCCGAGTCGCGGTCGTCAAAAAACGATGGCGAACCCGAGTCCCGGCAAACCCGGGTCTTACGCTCCCCCGACAGAAGCCTCGACGCCGTCCCTGGGGTTCATTTGAATTTTCGCCGCAGATTCATGTTTGGTGGCTCCGCGGCCCGATGACCAGCCCCAAAGGTCGCAATCGAAGAACCAACTTCCTGATTGACAAACGCACGTCGCCATCGGAAGGCCACTCTCACGTCGTGTAGCCGAGAGACGGGGAAGCCAATAGGGACCGATGCCGCTACTCCCCGAGACCTCTCCCAAGCTGCGCTCTGACCAGCATGCCGAGGCGGACGCGGCCGTGGCGACGAGAGCCTTCCAAGAGGCCCACCGAGGCGAAAACGAGGCAAGGGTAGCGGCATCGGTACGGCAGGTTCGTGTCGTGCAGACCCCAGCATTGGTTTTTGACACCGCAGGGATCGTTCAACCTTGAACGATCGGCCGCTGCCGCAACGTCCGATCGTTCAACATCGATCGATTCTGGGTCGCCGACGGCGTTCAACCTTGAACGCCCGCGCTGGGGTCGCCGCTGGTCGACACGACGCAAACCTACCGTACCTCTCCCTCCTCCGAGCTCTCACGCGTGGCCGAGGAGGGGCGCGGGCGAGCCCGGGGGCATGCGAGAGCAGCGCGCCGCGCCGTTTCCCGAGGAGCGCGGCCCGCGGCAGCGCGGCGGGCCGTGGCGGCGGGGTCGCGCCTCGCAGGCTTCTGCTGCGCGGGGGCGTGCGGCTGTGCCGGGGCCTGCGGGCGGCGGGCGGGGGGGGGGGCACTTCTCGGCGTCAGCGTCTTGGTGCAAGGGGCGGGTCGCGCTCTCGCCGGGGCACTCCTCGGACAAGTGCCTGCGACGGCACGCATGCAACAGAATTGCGGCAATGATCCCACCGGCCACCGAGCTATACGCCCACTGGGTGGGCTTCTCGTCATCGTCGGACTCGTCCCCATTCTCGCTTGGAACGTCCTGGGCCCGCTGTTTCTCAGTGCTTGTATCCTTGCTGCTGCTGCTGTTGTTGCTTGTGTTGCTTTACGCCCATTCCCCTGCTGCGCCATGCCGCGCTTAGAGGTACCAACCAATTTGGCAGATGATACAGGTTCCAGGCTGCCGCTAATCGTCACTCCCTGTGCAGCGAACGCATACGATAACACATCTTGCCATCACAGAACGTTGGGCACAGTCTCGGTCAATATTTGATGGCCCTAATTAAGCTGTTCCAGAACTTTCGAAAGTCCATGGCACCACCGTTGTGTTATGCATGTCCGTATTCTGACTTGACGCCCCAGCTGTGCACACATCAAACGTAGATCCTTGCAAACTACTATCTGTGTACGGGCACTCCATGAACACGGGTGCACGTTGCACAAGTTCCACAGTGGCCGTCGTAGCAATGGCAGAGGGAAGAGCAGTCCGCTGGTCCGAGTCCGTCGCCAACCGTCCATCAAAAGCCTTGGCCCCGCTGCCCGACCTACCCCCCATAGGTGGGGATAGGCGCCGTCCCCGTCGGGCTTCGCGGCGCCCATCCCCGCCTCGGTGGGGCAGGCCGGCAGCGCCGAGGATGCCCTGGCCCGCCGGTGATGGGGAGAGGTTGGACGATGCCTCGGGCTGTCCGAGAGGAGGGCCCCTGTCCATGGCCCAGGCTCGCGGGTCCTCCTCTCGCCATCGCTCGGACGTCCACTCCCCGTGCATTGTTCGACTTCGCGCGTGTTTCTGTTTCTCCGCTCGGTGGTCCAGGATGCTCCTCGATGGTCCTCGCCGAGGGAAGAGCGCACCCGTCCGAGCGATGCCAAGTCCTCCTGGTCCTTCGAGGCCCAAGGTCCAGGTCCTCCACTGCGTCGCGCGGTGCCCGCTCTCTCCGCCGTCGAGCTCTCTGCGAGGTCTGGGGGGGGGGAGCCCTCTGCCACGTGGTCCCTGTCCAAGACCCTGCGGTGCCACTCGGCCTCCGAGAATGAGAAGCCACGATAGGGGGGGACCAAGGGCTCCTAAGTTCGCGCTTCGCGCTGCGCGAAGCGCGAAGCGCGAATAACTTCGCGCTCTCGCGCCGCCCCCCAAGGGAAAGAAGAGGAGGACGAGGAGGAGGGGGAGGAGAAACGAGGACCGCGAAGCGCGAAGCGCGAATAACTTCGCGCCCTCGGGGGAGCCCTTGAAGCCACGATAGGGGGGGACTGGCATCTGGGGATGGTGCTTCGGCCTGGAATCGGCGACGCATCGCCGATAGATCGGCGATAGGCCCCCCATAGTGAATCCGCACTTTCCTGTGCAAGTTGGGGCGGGGCCATCGTGCCCCACTCGGCGATCACTGGGCGATTGGGGGTCGATGCATCCCCCCCATGCCTTTCCCCCCCTATCGTTGCCCCCGAGAGGAGCCAAAATATAGAGGAACAAAAGACGGCATGAACATAAGCTCTTGGCGCTCCGCGCGGGTTTCTTGTCTTGGATTCCAAGAAAGCAGTCGCGGACCGCAGATCCAAGAAATCCGCGCGGAGTACCAACAGTTGATGTTCATGACGTGTTTTGTTCCTCTATCCCCTGGCTCTTCTCAGGGGCAACGATAGGGGAGGATAGGCATAGGGGAGGATGCATCGACCCCCAAACATCCATTGATCGCTGAGAAGGGCCCGATAGCCCCAACTTGCACAGGAAGGTGCAGATTCACTATGGGGGGGCCTATCGCCGATCTGTCGCTGTTTCCTCCTCGAGGGGAGGGACCTCCCGGAAACAACCCTCCCGTGGCCCCAGCGAACGCCCTCCGAGCAACGTGCGGACTCGAGGAGGACAGCCGCAGAAGAGGCGCGGCTGCCATCCAACCCCAGAGGAGCAGGGGGGAGCCGAGACGAGCCTCTGGAATCCGCAGGTGGCCCGCCCAGGACTGGACAGGGCTTGCGCGGGATCCTGGGGAATGGCCAACGTTCGAATCGGGGATCGACTACATAATGAATTCTCTCCCAGATTGATTCTCCCGCCGATGTTTTAGAAGAAACGCGCAGAATGTTTGTAGATCTGCGTGACATTCTAAGCATGTGTCCTAGATTCTGCGGGGGTATCAACTTTGGGGTAAATCTATTCTGTAGTCGATCACCTACTCGAAACGTCGACCCGAACGCCAAAAGCATCAGGATGCAAACCGCTGCCGCGCGCAGCCATCAGGATCGAGGCGCTGGCCTGTCGGCTTCCGAGGCACGCCGCAGCCGACCCCAGCGGAGGCCCCGGACGCCCGCCGATCTGATTTATCCACGTGCGGCACCAGCGGTCCCGACCCACTCCATGGGGCCAGTCTTTCGCCCCAGATCCAGGTTTGGTGGTCCTGGGGCCCGATCACTGGTTTCTTCCTCCTCCTCCTCCTCCTCCTCCTCCTCCTCCTCCTCCTCCTCCTCCTCCTCCTCCTCCTCCTCCTCCTCCTCCCCCTCCTCCCCGCCCCCTCCTGACCGAGGAGAAGCTGCTGGCTTGAAACATCGTGTCGCCGGAGATCGGGGCTTCCGAGCGGGAGGGGCGCGCCACCGAGAGCAGGCGGCGCGCCCGGCGCTGCTGGCGCCCTGTTCTTCCTGCATGCCCATCGCTGCCAGCGCCCCTTCTCCCTGCATGCTTTTCCCTTAAGAATAACTCCTCCCTGTCGCACCCCGATGCCGGTCGAAAGGGCGGACCGGGCGTTTCGCCCTCCTCCTCCTCCTCCTCCTCCGCCGCCGCCTCCGCCTCCGCCTCCGCCAGCGTCGCTTGAGACTTCCTCACCAGTCGTGATCCTGCAGCTCAGAAGTTGCAGCAGCTTCACAGATGGAGGGCGGGTCGCTTCCAAAATGTGGCTCTCGCCTTAGAGCCGCGCACATTCGTTTTAAACATTTGCAAGAATTCCACGGATTGAGAGCGGCTCGTCTTCGAAACGTGGCTCTCGCCTTCGCGCTGCGCACATTCGTTTTAACAAGTCGCAGGAGTTTGACATATTCTCATGGATAACGTACCAGAAACAACGTTCTGGAACGATTCTGGATTGTCAGGGCGCAATCGTTTCGCTGATCTGCAGTGTTGATGTCCTAAGAATGGTGTTCTGGCACGACTCATGATCGCCAAGACGTGCCAATCAGGTTCACTCGTGGCGTTGAACGGTGTTTTGGCACGCTCCAGGATTTTCGCACGATTGTCCCCCTACGGGACAAATCCCTTAGTGGAAACGAGCCGTTGTAGTGGCCTATGAAGATGGAGCTTGGATTGATGGTGCATTCCAAGTGGGTCTTGGGTTTGCACTGGCCCTCCTCCTCCTCCTACTCTTCCTGCCCCGCTCCTCCTCCACATCCCACTCCTCCTCCTCGCAGATGGAGGGCGGGTGGTTTTCAAAGTGTGGTTCTCGCCTTAGCGTCGCGCACATTCGATTCAAAAGCTCACAAGAGCTTCACGCATGGAGGGCGGGTCGTTTTCAAAATTTGTCTCTCCCCTTGACACCGCTCACATTCGTCAAACAAATGTCGCACGAGCTTCACGGATGGAGGGCGGCTCGTTTCCAAAATGTGGCTCTCGCCTCAGCACTACACACATTCTTCTTAACAGCTTACAGCACGTTCAAATATTATTATGGCTGATGTCCCAGAAACGGTGTTTGGGCACGAATTGCGATTGTCGGGGCGCGACAGTCAAGTTGATCCGCGGCGTTGAAGCCCCAGGACTGGTGGTCTGACGCGTTTCAGGATCGCCAGCACGTAACAATCACGTTGATTCGCGGCGTTGACGTCTCAGAAGTGGTGCTTTGGCGTGCCGGGACGTTTTCAGGCGGTTGTCTTCCAACGGTGCACTTCCCGCGGTGAAAATAGATCATCCTTGGAGGGACCTATGAAGAACTTGGGGGAGGGTGTATTGCAACATCGTTGATGGGTCTTGGGGTCTTGCACTCATCCTCCCCCTCCTCCTCCTCCGCCTTCTTCTCCTCCTCCTCCTCCTCCTCCTCCTCCTCCTCCCTCTCCTCCCTCCTCCTCCCCCTCCTCCTCCTCCTCCTCCTCCTCCGACGGGGCCGCTGGGACGGTCACGCTGCGGGGCGGAGGCGCCGCGAAGCCTCGGCGTGGCTGCTCCCGTTGCAGCCCATCGCCTGCTGGGGCGCGGCGGCCAGAGCCTCCCCGGCCGGCTGCTGGCGGAGCTCGCGTGCGCACCCGGCTGGGGGGCCATAGCTCCCCAGATCTCCGAGGATATGGCCCCAGACATGATCGCGTCGTGAAAAAATCAGGACGGCAAGTTTTTTGCCAATTTCGGCCTCAGGAGGCCCTCGCCGGGCCTCGGGACCGTCAAAAAAACAACGCAGACTGAAAAACCAGTCCCGGGGAGCCGGTCGGGACTTAGAGGGACCCCGTCCTGAAAAAATCAGGACGTCGCATGTCTGGGTCAACACCGCTTGAATACGGCGAGTTGCGAGTTCTGGTAGGCCCCTTCGCTGTGCACCGATCATAATCCCACCAGCCCTTGGGGGCGCAGGTGGCTTCCAAGGCCGAGCTGATGGCGATGCTGCTTGGCGGTGATGCTGGGGACCAAGTTGTAGGAAATCACGAACCACACTTTCCTACGTTTCCAGTATGCGAATGAATCGAGCGAACACGACACAACGAATTGTGGGAAAACGCGAGCCACGCGTTCCCCCACACTACCGACCGACATCGCCGTTACCTACATCGCTGTCAGCCAGTTTACGGGGCTTGGCGACCTTGTTCTTATACCCCTCCCCTTCCCCTTCGGGAGGTGGTTCCCACCTCACCCCTGCCCTGGGTCTGGACCCCTCCCCCCCGAGCGGTCAGAACGTCCAGCATGGCCCAAGATGGTATCCACGATCGCAGAAGTTGGTCCCTCAGACGGCTCCAAGTGGCCAAGGAGCCCCCCGATGACGTACCCGAGATGCCCGAGATGCCCCCTTCCAACACCCAGAGCAACCACATTCCCCAATCAAAGCTTGCACAGAAGGGGTACTAGCGGATATTGAACGATCTGGCGAAAATTTCCCGCCGATTTTGGTGGCCGGCTGGGTTCCCGGTTTCCCGGTTCCGGATTCCCGGTTTCCTGGTCATTGGTTCCGGGCTGATTTCGGTGGGTTCTGGGTTTCCGGGCTCCCGAGTTCCCCGTCGATCTCTTTATCGATCTCTGTATCGATCCCATGGGATTTTTGTCCTGTGTATCTCTGTATCGATCTGTATCGATGTCCTTATCGATCTCTGTATCGATATCATTATCGATCTCTGTATAGATTCCCGGGTTCCTGGTCAATCTCTGTATCAAACCTTTCAAAACATCCACTAATTGGGGCTTTTCTCTGGCGTAGTAATACTTACAGTCTGGTTGTTTCGCTTCTGACTTGCTTTCGGGGACCTCCAGATTGCTCCAAGATCGCCCAAAAGAGCCCCAAGAGGGGCCCAGGATGGTTCCAAGACCGCCCCAAGCGCGCCAGAGGGCGCCTCAGGAGAGCACCAAGAGACGACCGTTCTGATTCCGACCGCGGGGCTGATCTTGAGAACCCCTCCCTTCGCTCCGCGATTTGAGAATTTTGAGTGTGTTGACAGATGTTGACATCTTGGGGGCATCCTTGGGAGCCTTTGGGCCAAGGTGGCTCCAATATGGATGATATAATATGAAGCAATCTAACCTCCAACATGCCTCCCAGAGGCCCTAATATCGCCCCAAGATGGGTCCAAGTGGCCATGGAGCCTCCGAAGGACGCCCCCGAGAGGCACCCACCCTTTCAACACATAAGGCATAAAGGAAACCTGTGGCGTGTGCCTTCTCGCCTTGTATCTTTTGGCGGGCTTTTGAGACCTCAAGATAGCTCCAATATGGCCCAAGAGAGCTCCAAAGGGCTACAAGAGGTGATGGTTCTGCCTCCAACGGGGGGCGTAGTTAAGAACCCCCTTCTTTGATCGATGGCCTCCACGATGGCCCCCAGAAACGACTTGTCTGGCCCCGCACGGGCCGTAATCAAGGACCCACCACACCGATGTTTAAAACGAACTGGCGATTAGATCGAACACGAAAACGAATCCGAACGTTGGCAACGACACGTTTAAAACGATACGGGTGCAAGCGGCAACGGACACGACATGATGTCGCCATTCAACGAGACAACAAAACGAACAACGAAACGAACTCCGCAAACCTCGTTGGCTAACAAAACGGAACATGAAACGATGCATCGAACGATGGCTGGGGACGGGGCAACATTGTATGGAGTCTGTTGCCAAAGCGAGCGCGAAAAACAAGGTTCTGACTGGGGCCCGACACAAACAAAACGACAGCATGAAACAAACTCAACATGAAACGGACAACACGAATCAAGGCTGCGGCGAAGGCTGCAAAGCCAAGGCTAAAGCGAAAAGCGGAATTCCGTTTGAGGCTCGCGCGACAACAAACGGAACAACACAAACAGCGAAACGAGAAACTAACCATGGCTGCGGCGAAGGCTACACAACCCAAGCTAAGGCGAAAGGCGGTGTTCCGTTTGAGGCGCATGCGATACCAAACGGACAACGAAACGGGCAACTAACCAGGGCTGCGGCGAAGGCTACAAGCCAGGGCCAGGGCGAGGGACGAGGCCCCGTTTGAGGCCTCTGCGAAAACAAACGAACAACGAAACGAATATCAAATCACAAACGGCATCCCATTATTACACGCAAAGGGAACATCGAACGACGACGGCGGCGCGAAACGAAACGACCAACTGCCGAACCACGACTTAACCGAAATAAGCAACATAACACCGAAACGCAACCTTGGAATCGCGGCGAAACGAAACAGACAACGAAACGCCCGCAATCAAAAACGTTTAAACTTCAAACGCCTGTGCAACGACAGCGAACAACACAACGGAATCACACCGAAAAACAAACCGAACAACAAAACGAATGCGAAAAGCTGACTAAACATCGTTGTGGTCGGCCACTGCCCCTAATTAAGACGACCCCCCCCTCTTTGATCGATGCCGTCCAGGGAGGTCCCAACGGAGTCCCAGAGGCATGCACATTTCCCCCAAGGGGGCCCGCAGATAACCCAAGCAAAATGCCAAGAGGACCCCTATATCGACAGATCCGAACACCTTCCTGGCTGACGCTTGGGTTTGCTCAGTCTGATCCTGAGCTTCAGTTTGACGGCTGCCCACCCGTTCCCCCTACACTGCCCCGATCAAGACAACTCGCCTGGGCATTGATTCTGAATGGGCTTGTGGAGATACGGGAAACGGCAACATCTCCTCCGAGCGCAGGAACTTTTGCACTAACGCGTGTAGACGGCCTACCATCAGGGACCTTAACCATTTCCAATCGATTGGGCTGCAGTCCAACAACATCACTTGATTAAGCCAAATGAAAGTCAACCGACAAGCGCATGGGAACCATTTGTGTTGCTACCGTTTGAAAATGCGACCGTACTTACATATGGGGAGCATGCTCCACACAAATATGCCCAATCGGACTCGCACGAGACGTCATGGGTCTAAGATCGCGGCGCACACTCCATAGGTAAACATGCGTCTAGGATTCGTTCTAGATCCAAGCAACATGGTGCGCAAAGACCACACACGCAGTAGAAATCAGCAACCCACGTAACGATAGCCGGCGAAAACATAAACATCAATCTGACGACTGAAACACATTGTTATCATCTGAACTGCATGTGGTGTGCAAGCGAATTCTTCATGGTATGGTTTGCATGCCCTCGCGCGTGCGTTGCCTCCTGGGCAAGCCAAGTCACTGGGGACACCATGATCAAATGTGTGCTGATTGAAGGAGCAGGGATAGCGACGTTACACACAACATCAGCCATGCAAAAGAGGGCGGCTGTGACTCCAGCGGGCCAATTCAAAGCAGATTGGCACAACAACGCTGCCAACACCGATCGGGCATATTGAGCCACCCGGCCACGCCCATCTCCTCTTCCTCCTCCTCACCCTTCCCGCTGTACCCAGCAGCATCGTTGCTGATAAACTTATTCGCGGGCGCTTTTCACGACTTTGACTGAATTCTGTACTGGGAACATCCATCGCAGGCCTTGGCTCCGTATATTCCTGGCTTGGTGTGATCCTGCTGGCCTGCAAATTCCATCGCCACCTCACGCAGCCGACTACGCACGGCTCAGCGATTGCATTGTTGTTCGCGATACCGTCCCCGTTCCCACCTGTTCTGGGATCGGTGCTGTGCCCCTGTTCCTGACTGTTCCAGTCTCGGTCCTGCGCCCTCGTGGCACAGAATCTCCGAGGCTCGGGTCGCTTCCAAACTCGGTCCTGTGACCTCGTATCGGAAACCTTCCTCAGCGAGGTCCTGCATCGCAGACATGGCTGCCTCCGGTCAAACTGCCCGAATCCACGCGCAAGCTTCTGTCTGATTTGTCCCACAACTCGGGGCGCGGAGAGGCAAGGCGACTGTCAAGCTCCTCCTACAAGCGAGACGTCCTGGCCAGGAGTCGAGGGCGTGGTCCTGCCTGCAACAGCAACTCCCTGCCGTTTGGCCAAGCGTCTACCATCGTTCGGTCCCAACGCTGGCTAGCTGAAGGACATCGATCAGAAATTACGAAGCAACACGTGGCATGGGGGCCCCCCGCTACGATTTCCCTGCAAGCTCCCCACCGACGATGCTGAGGTCGAAGCCTTCAGCCCACACAGGGATGGCAATGCGGAACTTCCTCACACGGTACGAGGGCCGGCTGCACGTAAGAATGACCCCAATGGTGCCCTGTGGTGAGCGGCTTTAGGGGCGCCCGTGAGGCTCAACGCAACCGCGCAAGCCGCTGCTGTCGCGCCGCATCGACGATCGGCTGGACGCGCGTGGAAAATATCTTCGCGCCAGCAGGCAACTACGGAATTAAACCAAAGGGCCACTCGGGCAAAGGGTCACTCTTACGTGCAGCCGAGAGAGCCAGCGCCGGCAACATGCCACACTTGACGACGCTCCGCTGCAGGGCGCGCCCGGAACGTGGCCAGCACGCGGCGGACCGAATCAATCAGAATCGAGCGCTGACAGCTAGCCCTCCTCCTCCTCCTCCTCCTCCTCCTCCTCCTCCTCCTCCTCCTCCTCCTCCTCCTCCTCCCTCCCCCCCTCCTCCCTCCCTCTCCTCTCCCTCCCTCTCTCCTCATCCTCCTCCTCCTCCTCCTCCTCCTCCTCCCTCCTCCTCCTTCTCTCTCTCTCTCCTCCTCCTCCTCCTCCTCCTCCTCCTCCTCTCCTCCTCCCTCCCTTCTTCTCTCCCCCCCTCTCCCTCCCTTCTTCCCTCCCTCCCTCCCTCTCCCTCTCTCCCTCCCGCCCTCCCTCCCCTCCTGCGCACACCCATCACACGTTTCGTAGGCCCACAGGACCTCCACCGACAGCCTCTGGACTTGAGCCCCCAGCAGCGCGTCTGGCTGCTGGCCCCTCTTGGCCGACAAGAGCCAACCTCCGACCTGTAGTCCCCACGGGCCCTCGCAGCGGGCGCCTATAGACACTGCCGTTGGGGAGCGCGGATGCTTGTAGGCAGGGAGGGCCTGTAGTCGTGTCTGTAGGCAGGCGAGGAGGGCTCCTATAGGCGGGGAGGGCTTGTAGGCGCGCCTGTGAACGGGAGTGCCAGTAGGCAGGGTGCGCCTGTAGGCGCGCCTGTAGGGTATGGGGGAGGGAGGTGGGAGTGCATATAGACAGGAAGGCCCAGTAGACATACCTGTAGGCAAGGAGGGGGGAGGGAGGGAGGGAGGGAGGGAGGGAGGGAGGGAGGGAGGGAAGAAGCGAGGGAGGAGGGAGCGCGCGCGCAAGCCCGCCGCCCCCCTTTCTTAACGCGCGGCGCTGGCACGCGTGCACGCAGGTCGACGCAGCCACGCCAATCAGCCACACCTTGGCAGCTAGCTCGTCCACATCCGGCGCGTCCCGCAGCGCCCACAACAAGAACTCGCCCCTCGGCGGGCCCCACGTGGCCTGCACCGCTTCTGGGTCAGCCTCCATGGCGACACAGTACCACATCAGGTTCTGGAAGCAGCCCGCCAAGCTGGCGCACAGCGGGCACGCCTGGGGCAATCAATCCGTAGGCAAGCCCCACCCCCCAACCGGAATCTGGAGCGACACGCGCGCGACGCATCATGCACGATGGAACCGCCACATGGTTCGCCCCCCAGACGCCGACCTGAGGGCGGGGGGCTGGTCGCAGTGCAACAGGAGGACCTCCGCGATGGGCAAGAGGCTGTCGCGACCATAGACCTCCTTCGCCGAGAAGGTGTTCCAGGCTGGCTGGTGGAGCGGCAGTGCCGCTTGGTGGTAGGCGAGCGGCTGCTCGGGGGCGTGTTGCCCTGCTGCCAGCGGCATCGGCCCCGAGGGGGCCGCTTTCACCTGGCTCTTCCGCGGTGAGGGCGGCCCTAACGGTGGGCCAGCGAGCGGTCCGCCCTGCTGCTCTGCTGTCGCCGCCTCCGAGGGCCATGGTCATGGTCGCGGCGCCCGCGCTGGTGTTCTAGCCGAGCCATGTTGGCGAGCCTCTGGCATGTCCCTGGGCTGAAGGGCGTAGCCAGGGGCGGCTGCGCTGCCTCGTCGCCGCCAGCACCCTAGTTCGCTGGAGCACGCCCCCGCGGCCCGGCCTGCGAGCCGTCGCGGTTGCGTCCCGTCCAGACCCAGACCAAGGGGTCGGCTTTCGGCCGAGGCAAGGGCGGCGGGCCTGATCCATCCGCAGGGCTCCCGAGACCCACAGCGGCCCAGGTCCAGGCGGCCACGTCGGACCTCGCGGCGGGGCGACAACTTGGCGAGACGGCGAGGTTACAGCTTCTCCTGAGCAGAGCCCCGTGAAGCGAGGCTGGAGGGATGGAGCGCCTGTAGGCAGGGAGTGCTTTCAGGCGCTCCTGTAGGCGAGGAGGGAAGGAATGCCCCTGGGCAGGGTGGGCCTTCAGGCGTGCCTGTAGGCAAGGATTGAGGGAGCGCCTCTAGGCTGGGAGTGCCTTCAGGCGAGCCTGCAGGCGAGGAGGGAGGGAGTGCTTAGAGGCAGTGTGGGCATTCAGATGCCTCTAGGCGTGCCTGTAGGCAGGGAGCGAGGGAGTGCCTGTAGGCCAGGAGTGCCTGGAGACGCTGGAGGGGCGAGCGGCGGCTCGGGCGGCGGCCGGCGGCTGGCTGCCGCGCGCCGCGGCCAGGCGACCTGGCGCGGCGCGGAGAGCGGACGGCGACTCCCTCGCACACGGCGGCACCGGGCCCGGGGGCCCCTGCAGCTGGCCCGACTTGCCCGGCGGCGGCCACCAGCGCTGGACGGCCTTGGCCGGTCGAGGTGCTCTATTTGGACTACCAGAGGTATCTATGGTGCTTCCGCCCTCTCATACAGGGTCGCGCGGATTTTTACGAGGCTTCGACAGACTCGCCACCCCCTCCCTCCCCTCTCCCCTCCTCCGCCTCCCACTGGGCCCTCAACCCCCTCCTCCCCTCTCTCGTCCTCCGCCTCCTTTTGGAGGAGGGCGTCGGGAGGGAGGGAGAGCGCTGGGAAGCTGGGCAGGGGAAGGAAGACGGGCCCGGGCGGAGCGAGGGGAGGGAGGGCGAGCAGGCGACGGGCCGAACGGGGCAGGCAGGGGGGCCAGGCGAGGCAGAGAAGGGGGGATCGGGCTCCACCGACCCCCCCTCCTCCCTCCTCCCTCCTCCCTCCTCCCTCGGCCGCCGCACTCCGGGAGGGGCCCGACGCCGCGGGCGTGTGCCGCCTCCTGCAGTGCGGCGGGCGGCTCTATGTGGCCGTGGGGTCTGAGCCGGCGGCGGGCAGGAGCTGCGAGCCCAGGGCGCAGCACGCCGGCCGCCCCCCCTCGAGCCTAGGGCTCCCAACTTCGCGCTTCGCGCTGCGCGAAGCGCGAAGCGCGAATCACTTCGCGCTCTCGCGCCGCCCTCCCAAAGGGAGAAGAGGAGGACGAGGAGGAGGGGGAGAAGGAACGAGGACCGCGAAGCGCGAAGCGCGAATAACTTCGCGCCCTCGGGGGAGCCCTTGTCGAGCGCAGGCCCCTCCCTCCGAGAGCCCCTCCGTGCGGCGGCCGCCCCTTCGCGCCGGAGGCGCGGAGGCCCTGCGGCTGCAGAGGGGCCCCCACGCCTCCGCCCTGCCCTTCGGCGCGCGCTCTCGCCCCCTACCTCCTCCTCCTCCTCCTCCTCCTCCTCCTCCTCCTTCTCCTCCTCCTCCTCCTCCGCAGGGTCGCAGCGTCCGCCCGTGCCGTGCCCTGCGCGAGAAAACGGCGCGGCGAGGCCCTGGCATCGCGAACGCATGGCCTGCGCGGCAAGCCGTGGTCGAACGGAGGCGACGGCATGCAGTCGGACTCGATTGGACAGGCCACGCGAGAGGACACAAGACCCTTCCGAGGGCCACATCGCCATAGGAGTGTAAGAAGGCACGTGTCGCGAGGCACAGGACACAAGGGGACCCTTGAGCTGGCAGGGTCGACCTACTAATCCGGGCCGACGGCATAGGGACACGGGCCGAGGTATACTTCCAGGGCCCTGGGACGACCTCTGGGTGGGCGGAGGAGGTACCACTAGGAAGGGTTGTCCGAAACTCGCAGGTAAGCTCGGGGGGTCGAAGGGTCCGGGCAAGGGTGAAGAGGGAGTACAGGCTGCGCAGGCATCGGGGCAAGGCAAGGACGCAAATGTTCGCTCGGGGGGATGAGTGGAAGAGGGGATATGAGGGGCTGGTGGAGGTGAGGGAGGCGGAGAAGGGAGAAGGAGAGAGGAAAGAGAAGAGATGGGCGGCGTGTATGAATGGGGTGCCCAACGAAGATGCTGCATCCTTGCGCTGCAAATGCCTTGCCGCGAATGTATTGGGGAAGACGCCAACAGAAAAGCGCTTGCAAACGGAGTCGGCGTGGGCGTCGACGTCAGCGTCGTCGTCGTCGGTGGCGTCGGCGGCGGCGGCGAAGCCGACGCGACATCCCTGCCAAACCGGCCCGTCTCCTCACGCTTAGGCCCCCTCCCTGCTGGAGCTGCGCCGTGCCCGTTGTCCCTCGCACGCCGTGGTGCATCCGATTCCTTCACATGGGACGCAGAAGGACATCCTCTTTCTGTGCGTCCTCCTATGAGGCGTGCCCGGCCCGAAGACATATACGTAGCACCCCGCAGTTGCGGATAAGAGTGAGGGGGCGGCGAAGACGTCGTCAGTGCGCGAGGCTCTGAAGAAGCCCAGGCGCCTAACTTGTACAAGTTATGCCTTCAGCCCGCCGCAGGCGCCGATTTTTTCGTTAAAGCAATGTGGGTGGATCGCAGGGTGTGTCGCGGGTGGGTCGCGGGTGGGTCGCGGGTGGGGCGCGGGGTGGGTCGCGGGGTGGGTCGCGGGGTGGGTCGCGGGGTGGTTCGCGGTGGTCGCGGGGCGGGTCACGGGGTGGTCGCGGGTCGCGGGGTGGGTCGCGGGATGGGTCGCGGGGCGGGTCGCGGGGTGGGTCGCGGGTGGGTCGCGGGGCGGGTCACGGGGTGGGTCGCGGGGTGGGTCGCTGGTGGGTCGCGGGGTGGGTCGCGGGGTGGGTCGCGGGGCGGGTCGCGGTGTGGGCCGCGGGGAAGGTCGCGGATTGGTCGCGGGGTGGGTCGCAGGGGGGACGACGACAAACAACAACAACAACAACAACAACAACAACAACAACAACAACAACAACAACAACAACAACAACAACAACAACACCAACACCAACACCAACACCAACACCAACAACAACACCACCACCAACAACAACAACACCAACAACACCACCACCACCACCAACAACAACAACAACAGCATCAACAACAACAACACCACCACCACCAACAACAACAACAATAAGTTTAAGACTGTTCGCCCTTATATGCTCGAGTGTCCAATAACGCGTATTTTCCAAACCTTCGATACCCACCCTCGTCGTCTTCGATCGAACCCCTTTTGTGGGGTAGACCTTTCTTCCCTGCAGGCCGGGCCACGGCAAGCGGCGGGGCGGCCGCGGACCGTCGGCCTGGCCAGCGGCAGCGCTGATCGGCGGGGCGGCCGCGGACCGTCGACCCGACCCCAAAAGGGACGGACAGGGGACCGACCACGACGACGACGACGACGACGACGACGTCGAAGACGACGGCGACGACGACGGCGACGACGAGCGAAAGCGAGAGCGATGAGCGAGAGAGAACGACAGCAGGGCCACGAAGGGCACGAAGTAGGCCACGAAGGGCAACAGCGCGGACACGAAGGGAATGGGGCCACGAAGAGCGCGAACGAGCGGGGGCCACGAAGTGCAGATAATGCGGGGCCACAGAAGGCAACTATGGGGCCACTGGGGTAGCAACTGGGCCACGTAGGACAGTGAGCACGAAGGGCATGCACATGGGGCCACAACGGGCGCGACTGCTGGGTGCCTGGGTGTCGGGAGCGCGGCGCTTGGGCAAATTGTAAGAAATTCCAACGCAAGGCCATTCTTCAGGAAGTTGCAATCAAGTCTCCAACGGGAGCGCGACTCCAGAGCGCCGGGAGAGCGATTCCTGAATAAATTGTAAGGAAATCCCAAGCGAGAGCGCGATTCCTGAATAACATGCGAGGAAGTCTCGGGCGGGAGCGGGGGTCCTGGCTAAATTGTAAGAAGTCTCAAGCGGGAGCCGTTGTTGTTGTAACCCGGGGGCCAAGGGCCCAGTTTGAGCATCAAGATATTCCCTGTCAAAAAACAAGGTGCGAGCGTCGAGGGGCACACTTGATTGAAAACAATATGCACCGTTGGGGGGGATCAATAATAATTATTCTTCAGGAGTGAGAATTCAATAATTTAAAAACTGCTCGCCCTTATATGATCGAGTGTCCAATAACGCGTATTTCCCAAACCCTCGATACCCACCCTCTTCGTCTTCGATCGAACCCCTTTCGGGGGGGTATACCTTTCTTCCCTGCAGGCCGGGCCACGGCAAGCGGCGGGGCGGCCGCGGACCGTCGGCCTGGCCAGCGGCAGCGCTGATCGGCGGGGCGGCCGCGGACCGTCGACCCGACCCCAAGAGGGACAAACAGGGGACCCACCGCGACGACGACGACGTCGACGACGACGGCGACGACGACGAAGACGGCGACGGCGACAACGAGCGAAAGCGAGAGCGGAAGAGAACAACAGCAGGGCCATAAGGACACGAAGTAGGCCACGAAGGGCAACAGCGGGGACACGAAAGGGAATGCGTATGGGGCCACGAAGAGCGCGAAGGAGCGGGGGCCAAGAAGGGCAGATAATGCGGGGCCACAGAAGGCAACGATGGGGCCACTGAAGGTAGCAACTGGGCCACGTAGGACAGATGCATATGGGGCCACCACGGGCGCCACGAAGGGCACACATAGATGGGGCCACGCAGGGCAGCGAGGGGGCCACGAA